GTATATTTTCTTCATACTGTCGGATCTATATCCATATATTTGCTTACATATATATATATATATATATATATATATATATATATATATATATATATATATATATATATTATTATGTCATTCATAGACAGTACTGTTTCGCTGTATCACAGCTCCTCAGTGCGACTAGACATCTGAATACTTGAAGCCCGGATCGAAACCCAACTGATCAGTCAATGTTTCTACCACTAAGCTATCTTCATTCGACAGAGAGAAACAACTAAATCTAGGGTATTGTTTTTACAAATGAAAACAAATGCCAATCTACCGGAGTGCCCAATTCATTTTACTGAAGAACTTTGCATTCGAGCAGGTGGCTGTTGTTTATAGAATTAGCTTATCACTCAACAGTGCTCAATTGAAATATATTTTCAAGAGGTAATTATTCCAGGACATTTTCCGACGTATTCAAGATCATCTTCGCCCACTCTAACCTCTAACCTTGTGAACCGATAAACTTCCTCTCGAAGATCGATGCAGTTTAATTTAGTTTCGTTTGGTTTGTTTCACAGCATATCTACTCCTTTCGATTTTTGCTTTGAGAAAGTCCACATTGGACGAAACGCGTCGTCAATAACTACAGTTTTCCTATTGTCATTTATATTTATAAATATATATATATGTGTGTGTGTGTGTGTGTGTGTGTGTGTGTGTGTGTGTGTGTGTGTGTGTGTGTGTGTGTGTGTGTGTGTGTATAACCAAATGAAAAGAGAAAGAATCAAATATAAATTCAATTTTCTCATTAATTTAGAATAAGGCTCAATACAATAGAAGACCATTATTCTTTATTATAGGATACTACATTCAAACATATGTAAGCCCGCTACATAGTTGCATTCATGTTTCAATGCATAACATTGCATTTCATCAGGTGATGGTAAATGAGGGTTTATTTACTAGGGCCTGATGAGATACCATGATTGGCATCGAAGCATAAATGCATTTATGTAACAGTCTTATCTGCTCGAATTTAGTATCTTAAAATGAAATATATATATATATATATATATATATATATATATATATATATATATATATATATATATACATGTAAATGTAATTTTCTCTGGTTATAAGAGCATACCTTTTAAAACACTATATAATTATAATAATAATCAAGAAAAAATCTTAAATATTCATTTCGGTTATAATTTATTTCGTGAATATCTATATATTCAACTCTTCAGATCGATAACTTTTAGTAAAAACTTAAAATAAATTATAAACGACATGAATATTTACGGCTTTCATCTTTACTATTATTATTATTATTATTATTATTATTATTATTATTATTATTATTCTCAGAAGTCTACATTGAGCTCTCCCTGAATTAATATTCTCCTTGGAATTATCCTTACCAAGCACAAATTCCTAATAATTATTTATTCATATATATTCATATATATATATATATATATATATATATATATATATCAAATATGTGGTGCAGTTCAATTTATTCATGCCACATTGACTAAAAAACTCCTACAACAAAAATTTCTCAAATTACCATATTAGTAAAAAAAAAAAACGCACTCTCTTAAATTTTCAAAAAATTCAACCTTAGCGTTGCGACTGCACGCTCCAAAAGTTTTTATCCGTTAATAATAACACATTTCTAACAAAAACATATTTCGATTCACATTTAATCTTTCTTGTCGCGCTACTACCTGGATTTCCTAAAAAACAAATTAATTTCCATGCCTGAGGATGGCTGTATGTGCAGCTGAAAGTACTAGCAAAATAAAAAAAACCTTATACAACTTGTAGTTATTAAAAACAACGATCATAACATTCATCGAGTGGTTCGTAGGTTAATGTAACTTTAATAAATTTTTTTGCGAAGATGTTTTTTTGCATTTATATCAATAATTTTACTAATCTACTTTTTGTATGAATGATTCATGTCTATATATATATATATATATATATATATATATATATATATATATATATATATATATATATCGGCAGCAATCCATCTTAAATACATATCTAATTAAAGACGACTGACAAGGTACTGCGATTAAGCACTTTATTAAATCTTGCATTCATACAAATGTTTTTTAAACATAAACTGTGTAAAAAGTGTGAAAACGTCTTATATATTGGATCGTTTTCTGCTGTTATATCAGACATTATCAAGAATGTTTTTCTTTCTTGTTATTTTAACTGAATATGTGGATTTTTAAACAATGTGTATATATAATCATAGGAAGGTTTTTTTTTTTTTCCAAAATCGGTCAGCACGTTGTGTCCGTGTTCATAGTTGATATTATTTAGTGTTTTATTTTTCTATGACTACTATGTTCGTATTTTCAACTGTTACGGACGGAGTTTGTAAGTTTCCGTGTATATTTAAATGGGTCCGTATTGTGCTATGATCTGAGATATATAAGCGTTTAGTATTATGTCCAATATAGATAGATAGATAGATAGATAGATAGAGATATAATAGATACTTTAAGGCAGCATTGATATTTTAAAAGATAATTTAAAATTTACACTTTGATAATTTATAAGTTCAATAGAGGGTAAGGTATTTAAAGAAAAAACAACCACCAAAGAACATTAAGTTTATCATCTGAAAAGAAAAAATTTTTCGCATTTCAACAAACTTAAAATTTAAATGATATATATATTATAAAATTTATATATACACACTTTTGACGTCTCATCAGGCAGAAATATTAAGCTTATATAAGTTGACATAGAGGGTTAGTGATATTAAATGAGCTCTCAAATATTCGTTTTTACGTTAAAATTTAACAGTTAAAATATTTAATCTCGTAAAATGGCATAAATGTATAACCGAAATATATATCGGATTAAAAATTTCTCGGACATTCGAAATCTTATTTAATTTTTTTGTTATAATTTATCATCTTTAAAAACATATGACGTTAAAAAAATTAAAAATAGTTCATGAGGTCTTAGGATTGGAAATTGTATAAAAACTAAATAAAACACCTTGTCTGTTTAATACTGTTTATTACAATGAATAACAACGTTAAACATACATAAAATGTCTCTGGCGTATCGGACCTGAAACAAATATATCGACAATATATATATATATATATATAGCGTATATATATAAACGAATATATAAAATTTCCCGCCATTCGGCCGGTAAATATTATTTAAATTTTATCATAAAAAATATTCTTTTTTAAAACCTGCATTAAATAAATTGTCGGAACCGCCATATACGTCGTCATCACATTCGGTGGAACGAGATTCACAGATTGTAATAATTACCTTGTTTTATAAGGTTCTCCATAATTCGCCACCTGATGAACGATATTTTAAAAAATTCCTGGAATCGGTTTAAAATCCTTTTGACATTGAAACAACGTTAAAAATAAATAAAATTTTGTAATGGATATGTGCATGTTCTAAAATGTAACACTGCATAAGATAAATAAATATTTACGATCTCATGCAGGTTTCTTTGTCTGCTCTACTTTATGAATTTTTTCTATTCAGGCCGGTAAGATACAAGTATTTAATATTATTTTTAAATTAATGTTCTGAACGTCTTTCCTTAACATATGAAATAATCTTACTGTTCGTTCCCTACAATTTGATATATATATATATATATATATATATATGTGTGTTAAACATAAATGTGTGTGTGTGTGTGTGTTTGTTTATGTATGGTAATATTAAATGCTCTGTTCATGGAAGATTGTAACATTATAACAGCCTGAATGTCCGACCTTTTTCACAATAAGGTTCATTTATGAGAAACATTTTGTCATTTGTTGACTGTAAACAAATGAACGTCATATCAGGTCAAATTTATTTAAACTCTTTTTCCTTATGTTTAACGGTAACGTGTATTACGGTTTTTATAAACTTTTAAAATATAAATAAAATGTCTTTAATAAATTTTTCCATTTCTTAACATAGAATTAAGATTGTAGTTTATAACAGTAAATTGACCTTGTCTTTCTGGTGGCCGAGTCCACGTTGGCGGTTCCGTTATCGCTCTTTCATTACTGATGAAGGTTTATCCTTTGCCTTGTAACCATTTGATATAAAGTTGTGTGAAATGTCCTTTCTTTATGCATTTGTCTTGGTTATTACGCCATTTTTATATTAAATTTTTTCTTTAGCTTTCTGAAGTCCAGTTGCTGTTATCGCTCTTTCCATTACTGATGAAGGTTTCCTTCCTAACCTTTGATATAAAGTTGTGTGAAATGTCAGCATCTTGGTTATGCCATTATTTCTTCTTCTAGTTATATATGTTCCCCATTTTAACCAAGGTTAATTACATAAATCGATTTTCCCTTTAGTCATGGATTAATTAAGAAAGAAGATTGACCCCCGAATGATTTAGGTCGAAGCAAATCTAGAAAGAAAACATTTGCTTTTAAGTGCGAGAATAGCATTTAATATACTAAAATTCATCTTTCATTTCAAGGAAAGGGAACGATTTCAAGTCGTACAGTCGTTTCGCTGGATTCATGGCTCTCCACAATTTCCTATGATTTATAGCTCTTAGTAAATTTCGTCTTTTTGCTGTCCATCTTAATCCTTGCTTTGCTAATCTTTTACACAAGGAAGAGGTTTTGCGTTGCATTCCTCTGGCCCTCTTCCTAGCAATATATCCTGTGAGTGTCAAATTCTTCAACCCATTACGTGTTTATTTTAAGTGTCTCTTTCGTATAAATGTCATTTATATTTCCAGTTTCTCTGTTTATTTCAGTTTATGGTATTCTCATCATCTTCCAGTAGAACCGGATATCTGTTACCTCATATCTCTTTTTCATCTGTAAAGATATTAAAAGCATTCCCTACCAAATAGGAGGACCTAATTTGTATAAGAGTTCAGTATTCTTTTATTCTTACCCATCTAAAAATCTCTTCATGTACACTCCGTTTATTCTTTAAATGAAGTACCATTTTTACTTAGGATGGGTAGTCGTTGTTTTATTTTTAAATATAAAAAAAATACGCGTTTTGTTGTAAGTTAGAACGGTACCCCCCGAAGTTCCTTACCGCTATAATGAATTTTATCGTCAGGAAATTGCTCCTACTAGAGGCCTTATGCCGAACTCAGGTAAATTTGTGAATACCTATATAGTTTACAAAGGGATATAACTTCAAGAACGCAAAAAACAGTCAGCATACTGTTGTCCATTTTCATCACTTTCTTTGCGATAAGGCTACATTCCTTTCGTTTTGTTTTTTTACGTTCGGTGCCAAATCAAACAAATGATAATATCTTCTAAATTTGTTCTGCTAAATTCTCTCTCTTTTTGTTCGTATTGATAATGTCTGACAGTTTTTTTTATGCTTATCACACATTCTGTGGCTGTTTCAAAGACTTCAGTTCGTAGCTAAATAATAATAACGATAAAGTAATTGCGTATACAACTCCTAAATCTCTTCGATTAATCACTACTTACAGCTAATCAAGCGTTTTTTTTTTAATTGATTGGATACACATATTTGTTGATCAATAGCATGTTTTCATTTTAAATACGCTTTGTTTCGTTTTTGCCGATCAATTCACATTAGTGATTTTGAGAAATCCATGAAAGTGCGTCTTCTTTTTGAGTAGTAATAGTCGACCAGACTAGCCTCGATAACCATTAACCAAAGCGGAGACGCCTCGTACTAAAAGAACAGCGTTTCTCTATTGATGACAAAGTGAAACAGCTAACACACCCATTATTAAATTTGCCAAGAAGCTTCTAAAAACCGAGTATACATACCAACATTCAAAACTGGCTGACAAAGATGGAAAAGGAAGAAGAATACGTTGGGAATTAGATTTTGTATCCGAAGAGTTTGATTTTTTTTGTGTTCATTTTGTTATGCTTTGTATATTTCCGATAAGAGATTTGTTGTATTAAAAAACAGAGCGGACATTAAAAAGGTTTACAGTCTTAAAAGAAAAGCACAGACACGACGGGGTTGCAATTTAGTGAGATCTCTTGGCGACTCAAAAGCCTGTGGAAAGTTTGTTCCAAGATGTTTAACAATACTCTAACTTTTATTTGTTTAGATTCCATGAAGGAAACATTCAGAGGAGAACAATGATGAGATGAAAGAGGCATTTTGAACATTGCTAAATAAACACTGAAGAATCTTCAAAGAGACACGAATACGTGCTCTGATTTAGAGATTTGAGAAGGAAGGAAATTATGTTGCAAGCGAGATTTGAAGTCGTTAAAACGATATGTTCATTCTGTTATGTATCATGCGGTTCTGCTATTAAATTCTATCAATATCAAAGAACAGACATTATATGTATATGTATATATATATATATATATATGTGTGTGTGTGTGTGTGTGTGTGTGTGTGTGTGTGTATATATATATATATATATATTGGAATCAAAAAAAAATTCGCTTGAAGACGGAACAGAGTTTGGTACTTTAATTCAAATAATTATCTTGAAGTTTTCGGCCCTTGTTTTGAAACATGAATACTCTTATATAGCGATGGAATCATATTTTTAAATAAATAATCATACATATATATATATATATATATATATATATATATATATATATATATATATATATATATGGTGGCCTCATGATTGCGTTTAGCATGAAACAGTCTGTCGCCTCTGAGTGCTGACTTCAGTGTTTACTTTTATATTTATATAAGATGATATATTTACATATCTCTGATATTGAGCACTTTATTCCATAAATATACATACCTTAAAACTATATTTCTTCATATGTATATATATGCGCGCGCGTGTGTGTGTGCGTGTTTGTGTGTGTGTGTGCGTATATATTGATATAATTGGAAATAACTTTTAGATTGATGATCCTAAGTTCTTTAGTATTTTTGTTTATATTTTTAAAAAACAGTCCTCGATACAGAAGTAGAGCCTAAATTATAATTATTAATTATTTTTTAAAATATGATTTTTTGCCGCGATGGGATCATATTTTCAAAAATAATCATATATACACACTCACACACACACACACACATATACATATATATATATATATATATATATATATATATATGCGCACGTTGTAGCGTTGTTATATGTGGTATAGGTCAGGATGAAAACACGCCGAGATAATTAAACTAGCATTCACGGCTACATTTTCACAGATAAACATGTTTCTTTAATTTCGCTTCTATTGAAGTAACTCCATAGTCTTAGTCTATTTTCGTCTTGGAAAATCTGATACTCACAGAGAAGTAAAAGGCCAAGACGGACATGGGGAATTACACGCCTATGATATTTAGTCAGTTTGAGTAAATGGATGACGGTACAGGGTTTATGAGAAATAACAAAAATACAAAATTTACTAACCCATTACCTGCCATGAGCCCCGTTTGGGATCTGTTAAAATTAAACTCACTACATGTTATTCCCTGTATTCATATTGAATTGCTTACATACATTGTATTTGCAGAGGTATATTTTACAACACTTAAGCCTTTAAAGTTTTTATTATTAAGCGT